ATTACTTCAAAGGATGAGTAAGGACTACAGAGATAGCTCAGCACTTAAGAGCACACATCACTCTCTCAAAGGACAGAGATTGAATCCCAGCACCCACAACGAACAGCTCACAGCGCCTCTAACTTCAGGGTATCCAACACCTTTGGCCTCCACGAGCACTTCCATACAAGTGGGCATACCCAAACACAAGCACACGTGCATACACATAATTAAAACTAATAAGGATAAAAGCAAGCATGAATCAGGGGACCTAGGGACATAGTTTAATGGTAGAGTACTTGTAGAATGTGAAAGGCCAGAGGATCAATCCCTAGCACTGCAATTTTGGAAAGTTTTTTTATTATTATTTCTTTTATTTTTTGTGATTATAACATGGGCTGAACAAAGGCAAGAACAATAGACATGCTAAAGTGGACAAAGGAGACCCCAGGAGGCCTGAACTGTACACCAAGAACTACATGCAACTAAGGAATGCTGAAATATTTAGAAATGGCATTTAGTCACTTCCCACAGGGAAAAGCATACCAGTTGGTTTTTCAATACCAAATAGTCAGCTCTGAAAACATGCATTTTTTTTTTGACACAGGGTTTCTCTGTCTTGCTTTAGAGGTTGTCCTGGAACTTGTTCTGTAGACCAGGTTGGCCTTGAACTCACAGAGATCTATCTGCCTGTCTGTGCGTTCTGAGTGCTGGGATTAAAGGTGTGCACTACCACCTCCCAGCTGCAAAGTTTTGAAATAAAATCAAAGCCATAAATCATACAGAGTTACACCTTGGCTTTGATGTTTCTGACAGTTTCCTACTACGCCTAAGAATACAAATCCATATTCCGGTCTGTGGACAGGCTTCTGCTCACGATTTAGATCTCTGTACTCCCGATCTTACTTGTGGTCCTTTTGTTTTCCCCAAAGCTTCTTCCCTCTGTACTTTCCAATGCCATCAGCTGGAACACTTCCCCATGACCTTTAAGTGTTGGCCCATTCAGCTTTTTCAGATACCACATGGCTTAGAAATGGGCCGTCCCCATACCCCACCTCTGATGACCCTTAATTCTCTATGGCATCACACTATTTTTGAGATCTTTGTGTGTGAGTGTAGGCAAGTGCACGTGGAGGTCAGAGGATAAACTTTGGTTGTTGATCCTTGTCTTCTTCCACTGTGACACGGGGTCCCTTGTTCTCTGCTGCACATGCCAGGCTAGCCAGCCCAGCTTCTGGGGATTTTCTTGTCTCTGCCTCCCATCTCCCCACAGACACATGGGGTCACCCACGGATGCTACTGCATTCTGTGCTCTGGGGGATATGTGCTCAGATCCCCACACTTGTTGGAGGTAATGTACTCACTAAGCCATTTTCCCAGCTTTGTATCACATTATTTATTTTTTTGTTAATTTTTTATTTGAATTAGTAACAAGATAGTTTTACATGACAATCCCAGTTCCCTTGTCCCTCCCGTCCTCCCCTACGCACCCCCCCAACTAAAGCCCTACCTATCACATATCCTTTCTGCTCCCCCTGGATGGCGAGGCCTTCCATAGGGTG